TTGTAAAGAGAGATTCCATTTCTAACTGAACAGCAGACTCCAGCTTCAGTCTCTCCTGTGTCTTACAACAAGAGTGAGGTTTCCATCCCACTGCTGTTTGTACTGTCTTGGTATACTTCATCCATATTTATTTATATGTAACCGCAGTATGATGTGCGAGATTGAACCCCAATATCAGGTTTTACAAACAGGTGTTGCTATAGTTAAAATCTAAACGCATGACTTAACGATAGCTGAAAAAACATGTGAGATGGCATAGTATTGTACAAGGAAGTCATTAACAGCTGCTAAATTGACATCTAACCTTGTGCAAGAATTATGGTTTTTGACAAAAAAAATAATTGAGGCTTATACCTTTAATGACCAATTGTAGTGAAAATCACAGCAAGATTTCAAGGTATGCAGCAGTTTGTCAGAATAAAGAGGCTTTGTGCCTTGACTTCTAGTAGAGTTAGTCATTAAAGGTATTAGCCCTTTGTTATTTTGACCAAAAGGACCGTTCTTGATCAGTACCTAAGGCCAAATCAAGCAAAGATTTTTATAAACCTGCTGCCATGCTATTAGGTGAAAGGATGATTAAACCGCTTAGAAAGTCTTGTATGATTACGGCCATTTTGCTTAGACAAGATGGTGCTGACAAATAATACCAGAACATAGTGTAAGAATCCTTTCCTTACATCAAATCATTTCAACTTTTTTAACTTTTACAAAAGTAAATCATATCTCTTAACATTTTTGAAGCCATATGTTTCAATGTAATACAATTTAAAACAATAAAAGTATACTATTCATTAACTGCATATCTGTTTCCAGCATACGTTAAAAGACAAAAGCTAGTCCTGTCATGATTGATATACCAAGTGACAGATTAGACCTACGTTCACATTGATGCGGCGCATGTTGAATCTTTTTTGCAGTGCAATTTCAGGAGCAGTTCCAGTGTGAGCTGGTACTGGAATCTAGAGCCCACAGATGCAGCATTAGATTCGCACTGCATATACAGTTGTGTGTGTTCAAAAATAATAGCAGTCAGACATCACTAACCTGATCAATCACTGTTTTTGGTAGAAATGATATTTCTACATGCAAATAATTTTACTAGCAGGTGTAGTAGAGTAATAGAAATCCAACAGACCCAACAGTCATGACATGCATGCTGCTGATTCTGTGTAATTGAATCACTAATTGAAAGGGGCATGTTCAAAATAATAGCAGTGTGGAGTTCTATTAGTGAGGTCATTCATTCTTTGAAAAACAGGTGGCAATTATTGCCCTTATTTAAGGAAGGAAGGCAGCAAATGTGTATATGCTGGTTACAGTGCATTTCTCTCTGAAATTCTGAGGAAAATGGGTCATTCCAGACATTGTTCAGAAGAACAGCGTATCTTGATTAAAAAGTTGATTGGAGAGGAGAAAACATATAAAGAAGTACAGAAAATGATAGGCTGCTCAGCTAAAATGATCACAAATGCTTTAAAATATCAACCAAAACCTGAAAGACGTTGAAGAAAGCGCGAAAAACTACCATTCGAATGAATAGAAGAATAGCCAAAATGGCAAGGACTCAACCAACAATCAGCTCCAGGAAGATCAAAGAAGGTCTAAAGTTACCTGTGAGTACTGTAAAAGACATGTGCTGAAGAGGTTACAATTTGCCAAAGAGCACATTGACTGGCCTAAAGAGAAATGGCGCAACATTTTGTGGACTGATGAAAGTAAGATTGTTCTTTTTGGGTCTAGTGGCTGGAGACAGTTTGTCAGACGACCCCCAAACACTGAATTCAAGCCACAGTACACTGTGAAGACAGTGAAGCATGGTTGCACAAGCATCATGATATGGGGATGTTTCTCATACTACGGTGTTGGGCCTATTTATCGCATACCAGGGATCATGGATCAGTTTGAATACATCAGATTACTTGAAGAGGTCATGCTGCCTTATGCTGAAGAGGAAATGCCTTTTAAATGGGTTTTCCAACAAGACAACGACCCCAAACACACCAGTAAACGTGTAACATCTTGGTTCCAGACCAACAAGATTGACGTTATGGAGTGGCCAGCCCAATCCCTGGATCTTAATCCAATAGAAAACTTATGGGGTGACATCAAAAATGCAGTTTCTGAGGCAAAACTAAGAAATAGAGAAGAACTGTGGAATGTAGTCCAATCATCCTGGACTGGAATACCTGTTCACGGGTGCCAGAAGTTGGTTGACTCCATGCAACACAGATGTACAGCAGTTCTCAGAAACAGTGCTTATACAACTAAATATTAATTAAGTGATTCAAAGGAAAGCAAAATCTTCAAACATTTTTCAGTTTATATAGTGAATGTTTGAGTTTGTAAAGAAGAATACAAACACTGCTATTTTTTTGAACAGTCTAATATTCACTTTTCTTCAATTTTTTTTAGAGGAACAACACAAATTTGATATATTTTTTCTTCATGTTTTGATTTGGAATAGAATGTGTAGTGTTCCCAATGCATTTGTGTGTATGGAAATAAAAGCTATTAGAAGGATTGTGAGCTTTATTCACTTTTTTCAACACGCTGCTATTATTTTGAACACAACTGTATGTGAACAACCTCCATAGAAAGTCATGATATTTCACTTGTCATGTAGTTCTGTGGGTTCTGGAACGCTTCAGAAATCACATTAGTGTGAACCAGGGCTAAGGGTGCATTCACACTGGCAGTTTTTAACCATGCCCGGGCATGGTTCACACCTTGGTCCAATTCACTATGTAATGTGAGTGCTCAGAACTATGCCCAGGAACAGTTAAGCCCACTGTGCCAGAACTACTTGGAAGAGGTTGTCCAGGGGATGGTTAACTTGTGGTCTGGAGTGGTTCACTTTAGTGTGTGCCAGAGCACAGAACTCTCTGTAGATCACTGAGCACAGAAGTGTGAATCACTGTAGGCTGGATGATGTTATTTTAAAGCACAATGCGAGTGTAGACCAGAAGGGGAGTGTTCAGTTTAACCATGCCCAGTGAGTGTGCATCTGAAGTGTACTTTCAGGGGACTCTAACCAAGACGTTTTACTCTTACATTTCAATAAACCCTAAAAGCAGCAAGTTGGAGGCCTGCACAATTCTCTTAATATCAGAATGTAACTGTCAACAAGTGAGGCAATAATACTGTACATATTGTATTTCAGTGCAATAAATGTCATACCACCAAACCAGTCACCATTTCTGACACTAATATTACATTACAAAATACAAAGAAGGCAAAAAGGTTTTTTTTTTGTTTTTTTTACATTTTGTATTTTTTTTTGTAATGTGATGCTGTAAAAACTAACAAATCAAATGAAAACCAAAAAAGTTTACATACAATGGTCAAAACACAAATAAAATAGCTAGAAGAAGAAGTAGAAGAAAGAGTTACGTAGGGATGACTAGGTAAACTAAGCTTCCAAAGGAACACATCCAAGAGATGATGGGACTTCGGTACTTCGTTATACAGAGCAGTGATAGGAAAATAATCATTCAGAGAGCTCATTCACTCTGGTTGGGCAGCTCATATGATAATGGCCTATCCTCCCATGGGTACACATAAAGTCACTCAAAGCAAAAACCAACATAAGGAGCACCAGACCAAAATGATAGAAGAGTCCAAGTCCCTCTGATAGTTTACATTGAAATAGCCAACATATTCTGGGAGCCAACAACAATCCATGCATTTTTGGCTGTGATGGCAGTAACAGCAAGCTTGCTGTCACTGCCACTAAAGTTGGCACAGCTAGTTAAAGTGTTACTAAACCCACAACCGTAAAATCAGTCTGTATATGCGGTAAAGCATGCTTGTTACTGTGGAACCTAAGGGGTTAATCCTCTGCATTGTGTAAAAAAGCTGTTTGATCCTTTCTTCTCTGTTCCTCCCCTTTTTCAAGTGACCACCACTTATCTCCAGACTGAACCCTAGGTATACACATGCTCAGTTTAGTGTATATTGCTAGAGAGGTTTTTTTTTTTTTGTTTTTGGGAGAGTGCATGTGATCAGCACAGGGCCAATCAGCACTGTCCAGGTCAGGGGTTTTGCATCTTCCTACAGGAGAATGAAAACTCCTTTTACAAGCTGTAACCAGTGCTCTGCTGGACACTGATAGAAGTCACAAGACTGCTCTAACTGCTGATGAGAAAAGGTATTTAGCAGTTTATATTTACTAAAATAATTGCACTTCTATGTTCTGTGTATTGTGGGAGACCAAATAGAGTGAATGCAGGGTCCTGGGTTTAGTAACACTTTAATGCTGTCACTGCCAATAATGCTGGCACAACTGGTTGAGATTTAACATATACGAATTAATACAGCAAAGTCTCAATGAATATATGTGTGTAACTTGCGAGCCACTAAAATAATGCTCCTCTGGATCGCGAACATAAATCACATACTCTAACTGTGTATATATAAAATCCATATCACCAAAATGTTGTGCTCCCAATCTCCAACAAACTATATAATATTAGCTCCAAATTAAATATCCACAAACAAAAAATATAAAATGCATAAAATCTACAACTAATAAATCCCAAATTAATAAATGTGACTTAAATCAAACAAAAAACGTCCCATTATTCAAATAATAGTCCAAAAATTGTTGTGATGACGTGATTGGTGTTTTTGGATCACGTCATCACAATTTTTGGACTATTATTTGAATAATGGGACTTTTTTTGTTTGATTTATGTAACATTTATTAATTCGGGATTTATTAGTTGTATATTTTATGCATTTTATATTTTCTTTGTGGATATTTAATTTGGAGCTAATATTATATAGTTTGTTGGAGATTGGGAGCGCAACATTTTGGTGATATGAATACAGCAAAGTCTGTTCTGAAGTCAGTTCTGGCTAAATCTTAAGTCCTGATGAAGAAACACCCTTGGCTGTTTTCTTGAACCATTAACTACTTGCCAAACGCAGATAGCCGAATGATGGCTACACTGTGGCCGGCCAGTTCTGGGAGGGCATCATATGACGCTGATCACCGGGAAATGCAATTGCCGGTTCTCGGCTGCACTTTCCTCACGCTGTCAGAGTGCGAGGAAAGTACTGCCGAGAACCGGCAGTTGTCAGAGCAGCGATCGGCACCGATCATCAGGGCACTGAGGATCAGTGCCCAGCAGTGCCACCCACCAGTTCCGCCCACCTGTGCCCAGCAGTGCTGCCCACAAGTGCCCATCAGTGCACCCACCTGTGCCCAGCAGTGCACCCACCTGTGCCCAGCAGTGTCACCCAGCAGTGCCACCTACCTGTGCCCAAAAGTGCCACCTACCTGTGCCCAGCAGTGCCACCCACATGTGCCCACCAGTGCAACCCACTTATGCCCATTAGTGCCCATCAATGCAGTGCTGTCAGTCAGTGCCACCAGTCAGTGCCCAGCAGTTGCGCCAATCAATGCCTAGCAGTGCCACCAGTCAGTGCTCAGCAGTGATGCCAGTCAGTGTCACCTATCAGTGCTGTCTATCAGTACCCATCATCAGTGCCGCCAATCCGTGACACCTCATTATTGCTGCCTATAGTGCCACCTATCCGTGCCACCTCATTAGTGCTGCCTCATAAACACACATCAGTGAAGGAGAAAAATTACCTGTTTGAAAACTTTTATAATAGAAACAAAGAAAATTTTTTTTTTCATTTTTTTTGTTTCTAGCGCAAAAAGTAAAGTGCCCAGCGGCGATTAAATACCACCAAAAGACAGCTCTATTTCTGAAAAAAAAATGATCAAAATTTCATATTGGTACAATCTTGGATGACCGCGCAATTGTCAAAGTGCGACAGCGCTGAAAGCTGAAAATTGGCCTGGTAAAGAAGGGGGTATAAGTGCCCGGTAGGCAAGTGGTTAAGGTCCTTTCACACAGGCGTTCCATATGTCCATTTTCATCCGTTTACAGATGAAAAACGGACACTCATGTATTTCTATGGACTAGTGGATGTCAACGGATGATCATCTGTTTACATTCGTTAACCACTTGGCCTCCGGAAGATTAACCCCCCTTCCTGACCAGGAAATTTTTTGCTATTTGGCACTCTGCTATTTCAACTAATAATTGTGCGGCCATGCAATGCTGTACCCAAACTAAATTTATGTCCTTTTTTTCCCACAAATAGAGCTTTCTTTTGGTGGTATTTGATCACCGCTGGGTTTTTTTATTTTTTGCACTATAAACAAAAAAAAGACCAAAACTGTTGAAAAAACCCAATATTTTCTCATTTCTGTTATAAAAAAATATCTAATAAACTCAAAGTTTGTCATAAATTTAGGCCAAAATGTATTTTGCTACATGTCTTTGGTAAAAAAAAAAAATCCCAATTAGTGTATATTAATTGGTTTGTGTGAAAGCTATAGCGTCTACAAATTATGCTATGGATACTGGAATTTACACAGCTTTTACTTTCTGACTGCCAATCAAATTTCTTGAGGAGCTGAAATGCCAGGGCAGAACAAACACTCCCAAATGACCCCTTTTCGGAAAGTAGACACGCTAAGCTATCTGCTGAGAGGCATGTTGAGTCCATGGAAGATTTTTTTTTTCCATAAGTTTTTGGAAAAATTACTTTTATTTTTTTTTTACACAAAGTTGTCATTTAAATTATATATTGCTCACACATGCCATGGGTATATATGGAATTACACACCAAAATACATTCTGCTACTTCTACCGAGTATGGAGAGACTTTTTTTGGCAACCTAGTCGCATACAAGAGCCCAAAATCCAATGACCACTTTGAAAGCCTTCACTTCCTCACTACCTATTACAGTTTCAGAGGCTATGAAACTCCAGGATAATACAATCTCCCCAAATATGACCCCTTTTTGGAAAGTAAACACCCCAGACTATTTGCTGAGAGGCATGTTGATTCAATGGAATACTTTACTTTTTACCACGTTTTTTTTGGAAAATGACAAAAAACATTTTTTACATTTTTTTTTTGTTTTACACATAGTTGTCACTTAAATTATATATTGCTCACACAAGCCATAAGTATATGTGGAATTACTCCCCAAATAAATTCTGCTTCTACCAAGTATGGGGATACCACATGTGTGAGACTTTTTGGGAGCCTAGCCACATGCAGGAGCCCAAAATCCAATGACCACTTTGAAAGCCTGAAGGTGCGCAACTTCCTCACTTCCTCATTTCGCTTCCTCACTACCTATCACAGTTCCAGAGGCCCTGAAATACCAGGATAACCCCCCCTCCCCAAATGATCCCTTTTTGGAAAAAAAGACCCCAAGGAATTTAATAGGAGGCATGGTGAGCTTTTTGTAGATCTCATTTTTTCTCTCCAAAGGTTTTGAAAAAGAAAAAAAATTTTTTTGTTTTCTTTCTTCATTTTCCAAAAACTTGTGGCAACAAAGAAGATCTGCAAAATACTCACCATGCCTCTTATCAAATTCCTTAGGGTGTCTTCTTTCCAGAAAGGGGTCATTTTGGTGGGTTTTGTACTATTCTGGTATTTCAGGGCCTCTGCAAACTGTGATAGGTAGTCTGGAAGTGTAATGAGGAAATAAAGCCCTTTAAAAGCCTGAAGTTGGCGTATTCGATTTTGGGATCTCGTACACAGACTGCCAAAAAGTCTGTCACATGTGGCATCCCCATACTCGAGAGATGTAGCAGAATGTATTTTGTGGTGTAATTCCATATATAGCCATGGCATGTGTGAGCAATATACCATTTAAGTGACAATTTGTGTAGAAAAAACGTGTGGTAAAAAATAAATTATTCTATTGACTCAACATGTCAATTGGGGTATCTACTTTCCAAAAAGGGGGTCAATGGGGGGTGGGTATCTTGGCATTTTATGCCCAGCATTAAAAAGCTTATGCCACGCATCACTCTTCTAACCACTTTAAAGACCAAGCCTTTTCTGACTCTTTTTTTTTTCACATGAAAAAATCAGTATTTTTTGCTAGAAAATTACTTTGAACCCCCAAACATTATATCTTTTTTAAAAAGCAGGTGCCCTAGATAATAAAATGGTAGGTATTGCAATTATTTATGTCACATAGTACTTGCGGAGCGATTTTTCAAATGCAAATTATTAGCCAATTGTTTGGTAAAATATAAAAGATGAAAGCATGCCTAGTAAACATACCAAACATGACACGCTTTAAAATTCCGCATGCCCCAGCAACAGCGACAAACTATATACATTTTTAATATCCATAGGCGATGCTTTAAAAGACTTTACAGGCTACCATTCTGGATTTACACAGGAGGTCTAGTACTAGAATTACTGCCTTCAATCTGACGTTCGTGGCAATACCTCACATGCATGATGCAACCACTGTTTACATACCGAGACGGGGCCAATGCTTGTGTGGGGGGGTACCAGAAATGGCATCTGGAAAAGCCAGCTCACTGCATTTGGGTTGAGGGTTTGGGCCACAGCAACGTCTGGATACAAAAGGGCCGTGATGATCTCTTCCTGGAATTTTAGGAAGGAACCACTTCTTCCAGTTGCTTTATAAAGCACAAAAGTGTTGTACAGAGCCAATTGAAATAAATATACAGACACTTTTTTGTACCAGCATCTGGCTTTATGGGAAACTAAGTACGGCTTCATCATCCGGTCGTTGAAGTCCACCCCTCCCATGTTAAGGTTATAGTTGTGGACACAGAAGGGCTTCTCTACAACACCAGCTGCGGTGGAAATTTGGAATGTCATGTCTGCGTGAATGGAAGACCGAATGAAAACCTCCACTTCACTGCAAGCAATTCATCATTTTTCAAGCAGGTTTTATCCCCCTTTCTAAGATGGGTATTTGCAAGTCATTGGGGGAAGCCGACAATTAGGTCACACTGTGCCACATGCACCAATTCCATGATTGTACAAATGTCTAAATAATGGCACTCTTGTATAAAAATTGTCCATGTATAAGTGGTACCCTATATAGAAAAAGGGTGACACCAAGTCCCAAACTATCTTGCCACTGCTCCCCATGTAGCTTGGGCATCCGGGGGGCTCCATGTGACTATCTTTTCCCTCATAAATCCAAAACTTACATGTATGGCCTGTTGCCCTTTCACAGGTCTAATACATTTTGATCCCATATCTGGCACGCTTTCTGGGGAGAAATTTGTTTGAATGCAAGGTGGCCAGAAAAATTAATGAACGACTCATCAACACAGATGTTTTGCTGGGGAGTATACACGTCTGCAACCTTCTGGTTAAGTTGATTTACGAAGGGCCGAATTTTGTAGAGCTGGTCAAATTCAGGGTCACCCCGAGGACAACAGAGTGTATTGTCATTGAAATGCATGCAAATCGCATTATATTCTCATATCTATGTCTGGCCATGGCAACAGAGAACACGGGCATATGAAGAATCGGGTCTGTGGTCCAAAACAACCGCAATTCATTTTTTTTAGTAATGCGCATGTTGAGGGTTAAGCCCAAAAAACATTAAATTCGGAAACCATAATAGGTTTCCATGCAAATGGTCTAGTAAGGTTTGAATTTGAGTTGGCGGCAATAAATTGTTGTGCGTATAAATTGCTTTGATCCACAATCGATCCATTCAGATCTTATGTGAAAAACAGCTCCAAAAAATCAAGAGTAGTTAAATTTGCTGTTTCCACCTGAATTCCGGGTTGCGCAGTGAAATGGGGGGGAAGTACGGGTGCTGCAGAATTTATGGGCTGCCAATCAGGATTTGTAAGCACACACCCGGAAGGACACTATGGGCTCTATGAGCCTGGTTTCAAATTCTTGGAGGCTGCAGGACACTACTTGTGCTAGCCACCACACCAGCTTGCACTGCAATTATGGGACTCGCCACGTCACGTGATACTACAGAGCTGGCATGAAAAAGACAAGGATGTACTAGGCTGCTGGTGCTCGGCAGTTCACCAAGGTAGAGCTGCATTAGTACTGGCACTCTGCTGCATATGAGAATCATCATGCAAACGTAGCACCTCAGCAACCTGGGAATGGGGTCGGTAACACCTGATCTTAGCAAGGACCTCTACTCCATTGTCTGAGCTATCTGTCAGGGTGCCGCTGATGTCTACAGGTTCGTAATCTGAGCCTGATTCTGTCAGTGAGGCTTCCCCCTTTGCTCTCACCTGACATGGTCAGAATCCTGTAGGCCTCTTTACTAACAGTACTTTTCATAAGACATTTTGGCCACTAAATGTATAGTTATCTAGTGCGACTCACGGGAAAAAGGGCACCTGGCTGTCAGGGACTGCTTGAACTGCTACAAAAAAAAACTTTCTAATGCTAGCAGAGATCAGGCCTGATCTTGCTAACTCTGCAGTTTTGTGTGCAACATATCAAGTGACAGTGATCTAATGACACTGTATTTGCTAGGGGAGAAGGGGGGAGGGGGGAGTTAAGCGTAGGAACTAAACACAGGTGCCGGGCTGATCCTGCTAACGCTGCGTTTTTGGGGACACTAAACTATTGTGAACATTTGTATTTTGCTGATCTAATCAAAGATATTGATCCA